GTCAAGGTGAATTATTTTACTAGGTCAGGCCCCGCCATGAAGATTCCTGTTGGGAAATATAACTTTGGCTTTTTTAAATAAGCCAATATGCTTAGAAATTTGAATTGAAGAGGCCTATCGGCAAGTGAGATATAGGCCGACGGAGAGTTCTTCGATCCTGCAAAAGGCTCTCTCTCTACTGATGTGGGAATCGATTATCCTCTATGATTTCAGCAGCTTAAGGATACACCGAGTGGTAAGCCGGATGAAAGCGAAACTTTACTCGGCCCTCTCAGATATTGCTTGCCCTGAATGCAGTACATCCGTCACAGAGTCCTTTTTGAATCTCTATCGACTGGTTGGGATGAGCTTCTGAAGAAAAACAGATACCAGAAAACTCTGGCTACATGCAGCAAGGCGATGATGTGGAATCACATTCGACACTGCTGAAGATTCAGTGACTGTAGCAAAGCGTAGAAAAGCCAGCATAATTAGCTGATCCGCTTCAAACTCACGACACTAACTCTGGGAACCTTCGCCCAAACGTAAGAGTTGCTTATGCTTTCATCAGGGTGGAGAACGTAGAATTCACGCCACGGTCGTGGAGACCAATTTCGTAAATATCCCTTGTTGTGGAAGGAGGAAAGCGATGGAACATTTTTTCCTCGAGCAATGGAACATTTGTTCCTGCGTCATCGATTGGGGATTCGGGTTCGCCACCTCCTGGTGTTCCATTTTCGATGCTATTCAACAGGCTGTAGAAGGGTTCCCTCCATAAATTCAGTATACTCTGAGTATCTGTAGCTAAAGCGAACGAAGTGCTACAAGGTCCTACAAGAGTATTTTCCTCTCTCTCTCTGTATTAACACAAGCCGAAGACCAATCGAATACGGTTGGGTGTCTTAGTCAATAAGCCAAATTCTAGATCCTCTCATTTGTGAAACCTTTTGGAGAAATAAGATTAATATGCCCATTTTGAGTAGTTGCCCGTGGGTATAAAATAATATTTTTTTTTTCTTTTTATTTTTTTCAGAAAATTTTTCTTTCAAATCAATGCCAACGCAATAAGAAATCTAATTATTCATCCCCTTGTGTGACTGTTATAAAGCAGCAACATTCTTCTTCTTCTCCTTCTTTAACAAACTTTTTCTAATTTTTCTTATAGTTTTTTTTTTTGATTGGTTTCTTGCCTTGTTTTGACTAACATTTTCTTGTTTTGATTTTAATTTTGTTATTTTTAATGCGCTTTCTCCCATTTCACATCAACTCAAATACGCACACGCACACACGCACACACACACACAGTTACAAATTTTTTTCCACTGCCCGCTAATATTGATTTGTGCATTGTTTTTGTATTGTTGAGCATAAATGAGAGGAGAAAAGAACAGAAAAAATAAATAAATAGCATTACGACTGAGCTTTCGCTGGCCAATATACGAGCACTTCACGCTTTGCTAATTAGCTTTGACTGTCTGAAAATAGCTCACTTTTATTTTAATTTTGTTGTTGTTGTCTTAGCTGCTGCTCCTGCTCCTGCTTTAGCTGCTGCAACATATTTCTGGCAAATTCATGAGGGAAATTTTAATTACATTTGACGTGCGGCAGACAGTGAAGGAATGACGGAATGGCGGTTCACTCGCTGGTTTTTCAGTTAATGGTTCTTCTTCTTCCTCCTCTCGTTGCTTGCTGTCAGCTGAAATTGTCATGTTGAGTTTATGATATTTAAGTACAAACATACATACATACATACATACAAATATGGTAGTCGCAACGCGATTTTTAATAGCAAATCTCTGTGGATTTTAAAGCCCGAAAATTTATCATTTAAAGGATAATGAAGTTAATGTCCTGCTGGTGCTGTTTGCTGCGGCATTGACAGAAGTAGCTTTAAAGCTTTAATTTGGTGAAAATAAGAAGGAAGTTTGAGCAAATTTAAGCTAAATTTCAATGATTTCAATTTGTGTAACATAATTAATTGGGAATCAGAAATATGAGTTTGAGTAAGGTAACATTTTTCATTCAGGTGATCCAAGTTGAAACCATGCTTCCCATAAATATATTATTATTTTTTTATTTTATTGTCTAGAAAATACATATATTGCAAGTGATTTTCTGAAGTGAGCAAATAAAAAGGAATTTTCAGAAAATCAGAAAAATAAAACTCAAAAAATAATTACTATTTTTGTAGAAAATTTGTATGTTCAAATTGCTATGAAAATCTTTATTTTTCAAAAAATATTTATATGTTTATCACAAAACTTTAATATCAAGATAATGTTTTGTTCTGATAAGAAAAAATAAAATTCAGATATAATAATTACTTTAAAGGGAAGTTTTTGTCGAAAATAAAAATTATATCTAAACAATTATTAATGATTGATGATTATCTTCTCCGTAAATAAATGCTGACCAGATTTACCGAAATCTATTTGTGTATGTATACAAAAAAATATTTTATAAAAACCTTCCGAAACTACCCGGCAGATTATATTGAAAACTTTTCATTATGTCTATATGGATCCTGAAAAGATTTTTTCGAAAAGTGGACCCGGCACATAAAGTTATTCAGTTTGTGGTTTCAAAAGCACAGCGTCGTATTTTGAGATCCGTCAAACTAAACATATTTTGTTTTTTAGTTAGGAATCCCACATTTATGAAAATTAATCGCTTAACAGCCACAAAACGCGTTAAAATTATCGAAAACCTCCTACTAAAATGGGGATTCAAACATTGCCACGTTTCGGGTCTTAAGAGGAGAATATGGTGCTACTAATTGTTCAACTACTCAAGCAATTAGTAATATATAAAAAAAATTAAGTGATTGTATTAGTTACAAATATAATATTTTCCGGTCCACAATGTATGTATTATCGTGTTGCTCGTTCTACCTGAAATATCGCTATTGGTAGTGAAAGTTTAGCCGAAGATCCGAATGTATGTATTTCTCGATGTTCTGAAGAGTTGGGACTTTCTTACGTACTTAAGCACACATCCATAAAAATTTCACCACACTCAACAACTGAAGACAGCTCTACTTTACCATCTTTCTCCATCTTCTCAACAAGCAGTGAATCACGATTTTTCGAACAAATTTTCTTCTGCGTCGAGAAACATTTCTGAATCGAAGAATAAACAACTAAGTTAAAAATTGTCCATTACACCCAAAAAACGTACTTACTGTCTGGTGCGCTCTTCAGTCCAGAGGGTCGATTAGACCTTAATTCTTCGAAAGTGACAACGTTCAGACTGTCACTGTCCGTTCGAAATGTTATGGTCGTATAATGACCGTTTTTTGACCTGCATTCAAAAACTATCCTTCAGGTTTTTCCGGAGAATGAAATTAAAGGCTTAATTATGCTCCTCCAAAGGGTGTGCATGCGAACTATGCTTAGACCAAGTAATGTCTTTATATCTAGGGGCGCAAGAAAAACCACAACATACGAGTTTTAAATTCGTCTTTAAATTTCACTTTTGAATAAATGCTGGTGCCTTTAGATTTTCAGGGTCGCTCATTATGAGCCTAAGGTAAATTTTTGAAAATTCAAAAGTAAGTAAGTCAGTTAAAAAGTAAAAATTTATTAGTTTTCAATAATGTTCATTGCATTTTTTTTTTTTGAGACCTGAATATACTTCGCGCTAGATAAATTAAATTAAATAATAAATAAATGTTATACCGGTAGATGTCGTTCTGGAAGCTGTAATTTTTTGACATTTGACTAACAAAATTCACGTCAGTAATAAAAATAGTACGACACACGCTACAACAACACATTGAAATTTTGAATACAAAATTACCGCTCAAGCATAAAGTGTTGATGAAATTCCAGATTTGTTCATTCTTTGTCGTTCTTTCGAATTGGGTAATGACATAACACCGTATTTCGCAAAAAAACTTGGGTCCCAAGGTTTTAACAGTTTAGTTAACATAAGAACGCAAGCCGGCTGATCATCAACCACATCGTGTCTTTGCTGATTGGATCTTTGAAAGGCATGAAAATGCTCCGGTATTTCAACCAAAAATCATCTTGACTAATGGGGCTCAGTTCCAACGCATTGGCTACGTCGATAAGCAAACCTGTAACAACTGCGGTTCGGAAAAAGCCAAGATTAATAGTTGAAAAGCCACTGCATCCTCACAGTGTAACTGTTTGGTGCGGCGCGGCAATTACGGTGAATGGCATGTTTTCACGAGAGATGATTAACTATTTTTTTTAAGGCTGCCACGTGCCATACAAGCAGCGAAACCAACGTTATTTCAAAGGAAAAGTCTCTGGACCGTGTTATTTCTCGAAGAGGTAATCGCAATTGGCCACCGAGATCTTGTTATTTAACACCTTGCGACTTCTTCCTTTGGAACCACGTGTAAGGCAAAGTCTACGCCAACAGGCCAAGATCAATTCCAGGCCACAAAAATGGAATTCGACAAGCTGCTGACGGCATACAGCAGCCACTTTGCGATTTGGCGATGGAAAATTTCATAAAAATGATAGGGTACGGTAAGCGATAAGCGTAGCTGTGGCATCCATTTGGCTGACTATGGTTCCCATTGCTAAGCGTATATCTTCCTCTTTGCAATGAAATAAACATTACGTAATATATCGCAAAAAATTCTATGTTTATTTGAATTTCAAAATAATATCTCTCATTGGAGAACACTGTATAACGGTAATGTAAAATTATATTAAGCTTTGATTAAAAATTTTAACTAAATATATTTTTTTGTAAATTTTTAATTTTAATTCAAATTTATAAATTGGAAATTACAATAAATTCAGAGATTCTTATTGAGCCAGAAATTCTTAAAGCAAAAATGTTAGTTTTTTTAAGTTTCGCCGAAAAATTACTTTCTTCAATTACAGCTGTACTGCACCGTCGGCAAACTTGAGTTGGTAGCATTTATAATGACATTTAAATTTAATTTAATTTATTTTTAGAAATAAAAACATTTACATTTAAAAAATTACTCGAAACTTCTCACACTAAATTTTTGAAAATTTACTTTATTTATTTCAATATTTTAAGCAAAAAATTGTACGCTTTCTTCTCTAAATTTTCTAATAGAATAGGAATGCCGACGCTACGGTCGCCACCGCCTACGCAAAGCCGAAGAGCCACCAGCCGCTCAAGACAAACTCGCCACAGCGCATAGCACACGCATGAACACTAACTGCGGCTGGTGCCAAAGGCGCCGCGCGGCGAAATCCAAATTCCGAAATCGGAGTAAGCGCCAACGCAGCAACACAAACAGCTAGTGGCAAGTGAAAGAATTTACTCCGAAAACGGTAACCAGCAGGAGCCAAGCATTGCGCATGCCTCATTTTAATGCCACACAACCAGCGAAGGCTCTCTAAGGACATCCCATTGCTTGCCACAACCACTGCTAAAGCATCATAGCACCGACCTCCCTCTTATATACTTGTCCTAATATATACAACGAGTTGTTGTTGTTTTGCTTTTAGCAACCACACGTGCAACAGAAGAGTGGCATTGCTGTTGGAAAAAATGGGATAAGAAAAATTCGTAGGTGTACGCAATGTGGAAGAATAACGCCTCCATTGGCTTCCAGTGGTGGCAGTGAGTGAGTATATAATATATACTGAATTGTTGTTGTTGTGTTGTGTATGAAATGCATTTTCCAAGCATGTAGCAACGTCCAACGCCGAAATGTAATACGTAAATTGTAGGAATACAAAGAGGAGCCGGTGGAAAAAGTGAAAAAATATGGCATTTATTACTTTGTTATAAGTACATATATAAGCTTATAACTCTATATATAAATACTAACATACATGCACATTTTGTTATATATTACTCAGTATATAACTATATACTCGTATCTCCTCTAGATCCCTGCCAGCGAACGCTTTATGTAGGAGCTCGGACATGTTTTGGCTGCTGCTGCTGCTGCTGTGCGCGCTGTGACGTATGTACTCACACTATATATATATGCATGTGTGTATATATGCATGTACATATGTATGTGTGTATATGTTAGCGCCCACTCGCATTAGTTACCTTTTGGCAAATCCATCAAAGTGCAACCTGATGCCGCCTGCCCTCAACCACCCGACGCACGTCCTGCCAAACGCCAAGGAATCACATTGCAACGCTTTTGTTTTACTTATTTCCACTGGCATCATCAGTGATTGTTTGTTATTATTACTGTTTTTGTTGTTATTTTTGCTACTCTGCTTTTGATATTTTTCTTTAATCATTTTAATTAATAAATAAGCGCTTGAAAAGCACATAAACAACAAGCGCTCAAGCACTCTAGAGCGCTTTATGGGGTAAAAAAAAGGGCATGCAAGCAAACACACACACACGCACGCACGCTCGCTCTTCTGCGTGTAAATGTTATGCAGCGCAAAGTTAAATGTCACTTCACCTGCAAGCAGGCAAAATGCACTAACACACACACACATACACACACATACGCACACTTATCACTGCACATTCAACGAGCTGCACAGCACAGCCGTCCTCGCAGGGCTCAGAGTTCAAAAATCAAATTAAATTTTAGTTTATATACAAATAAAAAAAAAGAGAGAAGAGAGAGAATTTATCATATTAGAGCCGCACAATGCCACTCGAACACACTCTAAACACTCGCATTTACATAACTGCACATTTGATCCAGCCTTCATCATCGCCTTTGTTTACTTTTTGTCCATCAACTCACGTCGATAGCGCAATCCGATTAGAATTTCAGCTTAAAATGCAGTTTTCGTCGGTGTCAAACGTCGTCTCTTGCCCTCTCTCTCTGTCCGCTCTGTGGCAGCAACTTGCCGCGTTTTAATTGAAAATTTTCAGCGCATTTTATTGTTTTTGCACACACACACACATACACACACACGCACATGCTGAAACACCTCTTTTTGTGTGCACAAATAGATGGAAGATGGATTGCTGAAGTTAGTTGAAGTGTAAAGCTCTAAGCCTAAATTACTATTTTTGCCGATATTATATAATAATGGCGATGCTATCCAAAATTCCACAGCAATTGTCTGAGATAACAGCCGAATGCATTGCTATTGGAAAAACTTGAAATGGAAGTTCAGCGCTCACAAAGCACATTCCAGATGGCGCTGTAGTCGAGTTATTCCAAAATTCTTATGACTTTGAAAATTTTTAATGCCACTTTTCCAGAAAATCATTAGCAGTTTATTAATTTTTATATTTAGATAAAGTTTAAGCTTTCTTAACTGTCATTAGTTCATTCTGTTGAGATGATTCAAAAAGCCCAAAAAGCTCAAAGGGGTTCCTCTTTACTTACATTGACACCCAAGTATCATCAAATTGGCCAGCACTAGAAAAAGACCACCTTAAGTAGTGAGCTGGACAGAGTTTAGCTGTCGGCAGCTATCGTCATCTCGAAAGCTCTACCACCTTCAACACTTTTGAAAGCCAAGGAAAATCTAAATTTTCTGCCCTTGGGCCTGTACGGCAAACTGCAAGCGAGCAGCAACGCAATTAGACTGAATGTACCCCAGCCTTGAAAGTATCGCACAACAGTGCACTCCCAGATTCTGTCTGTCGCACAGGCAATTTCCAGCGCAGTTGGACTACGCCATCTTAACCTTTGACATTCTCTGCTCCACAAGTATACCGGACAGCTATTGCAAACGCTCTGGATAAGATAGATAGATAACTTTCTTCACGAATGGCTGAAAACACGATAAATCATTTTGAAGGCTACAGACTACTGCAGCACGTAACGAGGAGACCTTATTGCAATCACAGAAGACCGCGAATGATTTTTCCAATATTTGACTACAAACCAGTCAGTCACCATATAAAGGGATTGCCAAGCTGCCATGAGATCTCTTCGATGCAATGACGCCAGATTGAAGGAACATGCAAAGTGACTAGAAAGCTTTGGGCTGTGTTGGGCGCTTAAAATAAGATTTAAAAGAATCTAATCTCCCTAGACTCTTACATCATTTCAACCGGACATAGTTCAATTAGATTCCTTCAGGAACTGCAGATACCAATAAGAATAGGAGTATGTCCAAAGCCCTATGCGACATAAGTTTCTAGAAAATCACTTCTTTGATTGTCTGGTTGATGTAGTAGCAGACAATAAGGCGCACGAAATGGTTTCTGAAGGTGATAAGTGTAATGCAGTGGTCACTCAATGGACCTTCAGACCTACGTGCGCTTCTATGAAGCGGTTTTTGGTCGGGCTCCTCTGCCAATTCGTGTGTGCGTCTTGATATTCTTCCCACAAATGCAGACACCTACAGTTTACTCCAAACAGCTTTCTAAAGGGCAATGGATTTTTATGAAGAGATTTTAATTCATGTCAGAAATTCACTCGAAGGGTTTCATATTACATGACGAGGGGCGACCGTTAATAGAGAAACAAATTTTTATTATCTTTTCGGATGTTAAAGGTATCATGACTTCAACCCTGATCTTCTGAACTACCAACCACTTACCTGTTACAGCCGCATCTTAAATTTTCAAAAAGATTTCTCGAATGAACTGCGATGTCTTTGGGAATTATTAGCCGACCCTTCTTCCCCGCTTCTATTTTTACTTATTTTAGTTTGCAAAAGGAAAATGTAACACTATGCCCAGAAGTAGCATTATGAAGCTTGATTTGTCACTGTCACGTGGAGCAGTTCGTATCATCTTATATCGGACACAAAAAGCGCTGTAGACGACATTTTGATGCAATACCGTAAAGACCTGCTATATCGTTTCATCTTTACGCTCTTGCCGTTATGCTTTTTGTGGATAGGCAATCAAGACTTGAAACCCGATGTATCCCCAGTGTTTTATGACGAATTTGTAAAAAGTTTCTTGTTTATATCCGCGACAATGGACGTTATAAGGCGGACCCATATCGGCTGCCGGCTCTCCGAAAGGCCAATGCCCATTATTAGAAGATACTATCGGAATTCGGTAAACGAAAGGCCCCGCCACTATACCGCAGTCCATTTTGGGAATCAATTGGTGTAGATTGTGATGATGTGCCCTTCACCTCTGGACAGTATAGATATCAAGAGTTGTAGAAGAAAACAGTGCACAGTTGCAGACAAACAAAGAAAGAGACCGAAATGCGTGAGTAGGAAGGAGGGCAACGAAAATAAGTGTGACCAACGCAAGGTTTCAAGATCGGAGCAAATGAATGGAGAAACCAATGTGGTTATCTGGTGACCGATATCCAGATCATACTTGGTGCATGGAGAAAACATTTCTCCAGCCTACTGAATGGCAATGCATGACTGCATTAAAATGCAAAACCCGGGGATGGCAAACCCGAAACTCCAATTGATGATGGAAAAGAGACATTCGCTTGCACGACTATGAAAAACTTCGAATAGCAAACCCCCGCTTGAAGAACAACAAAGCGGCTGGAGTAGATGGACGGCTGGCACTACTCCACCACGGTTTCACGGTTTGCAGAAAATGATTGGATTAATATACACTGGCCAATCTATTTATTTACCATGAGGTAAGCCTTTCCAATAAGGCATAAAAGGTCCAATCGATTGTGTGACACACTAAAGCCCACCGTCAAATAATTGATCGAACTTGATCAATGTGGCTTTGTCTGAATATGGTATTCTTGCAAAACAGTGAATGGAAGGAATGAATGGCGCCTTTTGATTATTTGGCTATAAACGCGTAGGCGCTGCCTAAGACAATGAGGACAAATAATTTTTTTTTATTCATATTTTGGTTCTATGTGCGAATGGCATCACTTTCGTCTTACTAGAAATAACAACTTGTCCGTTTTACGCGGCCTAGTCTATAGTTTTCGTAAATAACTATCCACAATCTCACTGACTGTAGAAGGAACGGTCTTGTGATACCATACCATCAACCTGATATCACTCTCCTACCGTTGAGCTCAAGTAGACCTTCGTTTAGCGAGACTACCCATAGCAGCGAGGACAAAACACCCCCTTGAGGAGTCCCTCTACTAAGCTAGATTGTTCATGGCGCTGAGCCGCTGGAAGCTTTAATCGTTCAATCCAAGAGCATACCGTGCCGGCTCTGTCAACAGGCAAACGAAAAGCAATGATAGTTTCGCTACCACTGCCTGAACTGGGGTTTAAATTTTAGACTTCAGATTAAAGACCTCTCAAATGAAGAACTTTTCTCGGAGTACTATGTACTTGGAACCTAACTCTCATACAAATAATATTATTTTAATCCACTATATCGACTTAATAGAAATCCCATGTCTTGCACACTTTTCCACTTTTATTCAATAACAATGGCCTGGAAAAAACAATAAGTGGAACAACCCTTAACTAAATTAAAGTCAATGGATCAAGTTAAAAGGGTTAGAAAATAAACACATATCAATAAAAATATCAACTGAGACAAAATGCTCGTGTTCAACAACCGAACAGGCGAACAACAACAACTATGCCAAACAAACTCCAGCAATAAAAATTCAATAAATAACGGTTAAACGTGATACATGTTGTGGCAAAACGTGTTTTTAAGGCCATAACTTCAATCTAAATCGAATTAATCGATTACAGCGAGGCCAACCGACAAACAAAGCGACATGTCGTTTCCGCAACAAACGGGCAGCAGAGCAACAAAAAAAAACTAAAAAAAAATTAACCGGAAGACGGAAAAAAATCAACAGGAACACAACAACAAAAAGCAGCTGCCACACAGCTTGCTTTCAAATCGAGGCACAACATGCAAGAGAAGCGCTTGCCTGCCTGCCTGCCTGCCTGCCTCAACGCAGAAGACACACAAAAACAAAGAACACGCAACTGAACTTAACCCTAACCCCAAAATTTATGTGGGCACGTCTGTGGAGCGTCTCACGACTGAGCGTCTCATGATGGTTTGAGCCCAAAAAAGGGTTGCAGATTTATGTGTGGCGAGCGCGTGGTGTGGGTGCGACCGCTAAGGAAGTAAACGGCAATAGGCAAATGGGGCGCCCGTTCGACTCGTAGGAAATGCCAAAGAAAAGCGCTGGCACGGAAATGAACCCAAGAGCACTGAATGGTGCGACACTGAGAGGCGCAGAGCGGCGGGCCAGCAGAGCTTAAAGCGGCTCAATGCGATTTTTATAACGTGACAACATGCAAACCGTGACGCGCTAATTTTTTTCGCCGACCTACCTTCGACGTCGTTTCATTCACCCACCCCTCGGCTCAACTACCTTAGACGCTGTAAGACGCTTAGTTAACGGCATTCGATT